AAAAAATTAACGTTCTCACGCTTTCCTCTGTCTTTCCTTTTCCTTTCTCTGATTCCAATCCGTTTCTCAAATCTCTCCAACTGAATATGATCAAAATTACCCTTTCCACGCTTAATTTAATCCTCAATCGCTGGATCCAAGCTAAAGAACACACAAGAAAAAGAAGAACGAAAAAAAATTGCAGTAAAAGCAGAGCAAACCTTATCAGTGTAACAAAATTTATGGCTTAATTAATTGATACTAATAGAAATGGAATTAACAAGTAAGAAAGCTAATAGCAATGGCGGATGGCGCGATTGGTATCGACACGAGTGGTAGTTTCGTATACCGGAAGCTCTTCGTGGTACCGATCGCCGCCCATTACCGCCAGGTGATCGAGCTCGAAGAGATCTGAACTTGAACAACTTGCTCTGTCGTCTTCTTCTTCTTCTTCTTCTTCTTCGTAGAGATCGTTGTCCGGATGGTGAAAATTTCTAATGAGGAAATCGTTCTTCTTCCTGTTTTGTTGATAATCTGTCAAAATTTTTCTGGCTGCTGCTGTTGCTTCTGTGGTTTGGACCTTTTCCTTGACTTGGAATTTAAGCTCTTCTTCGTACAAGGATTTGTGTCCGCAGGGCCTGCAGTATTCGTCTACGATTGTACTCACCGGGTAGAATCGGACCGTTCTTCTGTCGCTGTTGCGCAATTTTTCTCTTGAACACGGCGAATTTTTGTTTAAACATGATCTTGAAAACGATGTAGCCGAAGAGCAAGTCGAAGTTTGGCCAGATTTTGATTTTCTCTCTGTGTTTGGATCTTCAGAGGTTGTTGATGTCATGGAGTTGCCTGTTTTCTTCGGAGTTCCGGCGGTGAAGATTGAATTGATGAAACTTGAGAGGCGTCCCCCTGGCGAAATCGGTTGCTTCACCTTCTTTAAATTACTGTAAATCTTCAGCGCCCTAGATTTCGACTTCTCATCGAAATCTCGCGATTCTTTGTTTATGACGAATTGATTGCTCTGTTTGGACTGTGGCTTTTCTCTGTTCTGTCTCTGTTTTGGCTCTGATTTCTCCGGCGCTGGAGCCGATATGCTGGTCCTAACCGGCTTCGGCCTGAACTTTGCGAAACAAGACGGCGTCAAGGATTTCGAGCCATACATTGATTCGGTATCCGAGGAAGAGAATCCGCCAAAACTCGAATCCGAAGAACTCGAAGTTGAGCTGAAGAACAGAACGTCTTCTTCCCGATCATGCTGATACAGCTGAAATTTTCTCTCAGCCTCCGTCAGAGATCGTCTCCTCTGTGTACTAACCTTTTCAGCAACCTTCTTCTCGATCCATCTCTCGATCAGCAAAGCTCGGTGGAGGCTCGCGATCTCCTCGTCTTCAATATCACTCTGCGCTTTCCCGATCATTTTACCTTGTTTCTTCATCACTTTGTGTCTGTAAAACTTCAATTCTCCACTTCTCTTATCGCCTCCATCGTCAATCGAACGGTAGATTTCATCGAGCAAACTGGAAGAGAAAGACTGGCCGTCACCTCCATTCCTGAATCTCTCCCCTCTAGCCCTAATTTCCTGCCCGTTCATGATTGTTCACAGAGAAAACGCAAGAAAAACGAAAAATCAACGAAGAATGCGTAACGACGATGAAAAGAAGAGAGAAAACGACAATGGCGGAATGCTCTGTCACAGAGCACACAAGAAGTAGGGTTTAGAGCTGCGTTTCAACTCTTTCCTGTCTCCTTGTGGAGGTCCAAAAGCTGCCATGGAAGGTGGACAGAAACTGTTGGAAAAGAAACTAATTCCACATAATTGGAACAAAACTACTTT